TCAAAAAATCAAACTAAAAAAAAAGTATTTTAGTCAAAAGTTAGATAAACTCTTGAGAAAACCTTATAATAAATAACAAAATCTCGAAAAACTTACGTGTCTTTCTGAAAGTGCTTAAAGAGTCAAATTTTGGGCATTATTTGGTACTGATTACGCCACGCTGGTCTACTTTTTTTTTTATTAAACTAAAAAATATATATTTACGTCAAACGTTACATAATCTCTTGAGAAAACCTTATAGTAAATAATAAAACCTTTAAAAAAACTTACGAGCAATTCTAATAGTGCTTAAAGGGTCAAATTCGGGCCCTTGTTTGGTACTAATGACGTGACACTAATAATTTTTTCAAATTTTGCGAAAAAAAATAATTTAGTAAACAGATTTTTAAAAAGGAAAATTCGAATCAGTTGAATAATAATTTGTCTAGGTTTCGTTTCAATCATTTGTGTTTTCACAAGACAAACAGTTGCGTACAAGTCAATCCATGCAATCAATCCGTGTTTCACATTTTGACTTTTTACACGAATAGGAATTAACTGCAAAACATCTTCAGGAGCAGGTCTAATGTGCATCAATTTAACCTCAAGTTGATTGCCAATTTCTCGCCATCCATATCCATTAAGTTTTGAAATATTGAGATTTGCCTTCACTGATTGTTTGAAAATTGCTGTTTGATACACAACTTTCTTGCAATGACACATAAGAGCATCCCTAGTTGGCAGAAACTTTTAAGGTTCCGTAGCTTCTTTCTTGGCAATAAACTTAAGGTATCTTTCTTCGTTCGTATCACTGCATTATAACTTTTATAACTGACATATAAACTTTTCGATTTGGTCAAAATAGGTTTCATCAAAGATATAAAAGTCCCCAACCTTGGAAAAATTGACTTGTACTCTTCAGACTGTCTCATTAATTTGAGGAATTTTGACTTACCAATCCCGTAAAATGCACTTGTATAATTGTTCCCGCTAAATGCATAAAGAGCAAGATGAGCTTTACAACAATCAGTACCTAACTGTGAGGCAATAAGATTTATATCAAGAGTCCGTCTTTCAGTAGAGACGCCAATATCCACAAATAATTCTATTTGAAGTTGGTTTTGAAAGTACAAAGCGTAGATAGCAATATCTGTGTCAACCGTGTGAATGCAAACTGTTTCGAAACCAATAGATGCATTATATATAGGCAGTTTAAAGTATGTTTTTTTTAAAGACAAAACCTCGCTGCGAATCTTTTGTGCAAGATGATGGAGAAGCTGTTCAATCAGTTTTGGATTATTTTTTCCTTCTCAATGGTATTGTTGCATAAGAAAGAATACCCTATTTTGGTGACCGCAACTGAACAGACCCGCAAGTTCTGCAACTACAGCATCCTTCAAAGTCCTTTTATCTAGAATCTTTGCTCTATCTGTACAGTTTTTCTTCTAAAATTCAAATACTTACTTGTATGAGTAATCTCTAAATTGTCTATTTCGTGTTCTGTCACATTGTCGAAGAGAAAACGCATAATTGCATCTTCTGTTAAAATAAAAGGAACTTTTTGGGGTCTTGTATAGTTAAGGTAACTAGTCCGATGATAATATAACTCTAAGGAAACTATGATTTGCCCAATATACTAGCTGGGTTTTCAGCTTTACTTAAGCGTTTTCTTTTAACATGTTTGCTGCACTTTCTGTTACAAATTTTGCCCAGTAGGCATGGACGTAAAAAAGACGTTTTTAAACGTCTTATACTCGTTTTGGACCTCTTTTGAACGTCTTTTGAACGTTTTGGACGTCTTTTGAACGTTAAAAAGACGTCTTTTTTAGGTCCGGTCCCCATTGGGTGTAAGCGTTTTATATTCGTTCCTATATTTATTAGTCTTTTTGCAATAGCAAATGCAACACTTTTCATCCGCAATAATTTTTCATGAAACAAAGGGGTTATTTTAATTTTGAAGTAGTAATAAAACATATAATAAAACAGGGCAATATTCTTTGCTTTGCATTTCACACTAAAAGGTTTTTTAATTTACCTGATCTATCTCTTTTACGAGCTGAGATTCTACGCTTAAATGAGGATGCATTATCCCCGCCTACACTCTCGTTGACATTTTCTGCTCTATTTTTCCGGTGTTATAAAATGTTTAATGTTTTTATATTCACATACTTATCGTAACATCTTTGATGAAATAAGAAAGTTGTTGGGCACGTACAGCAGGTCCGTATCCAGCATTATTTGGTCTTCGAGATTTTTGACCATATAAAGTTTAAACCCCCCTCAATTTGAGGGGGTTGCAAATTTTATATTGTTATAATTATTGAACGCTGAAATATTTTACTATGAAATTTAAAATTTATCGACAAGTATAAGTCTGGTTAAAAATAGTACAAAAATATTTCATCAACTTGTTGCTCTCACGTTTAGGGCAGGGGAAGCACAAATTTTGGGGCTTTTTTGTTCCCAAGCTCCAATCATCGCAATTTTTTGCAAAGCATCCTTATTTGACATAAGTATAAACATACAAATGTTTGGAGCTTGCTCTATGTCTAAAAGTTAAATATCTCGAAGACCAAAAAATGCTGGATACGGACCTGAATTTCAGGTAGAATGTTTATAATTTTAAAGTCATTTCGAATTTAACGATAGTAAAAAAAAATATTATAATCAAATTTACGCTATTTATTGTTTTTTCCGTACCAATGTTTAAGACATATACAATGTTTAAGACATATATTTAGTTTGTGACTTACCAAGCATTGTAAGTCACAATGCTTGGTTTGAAAGTCACAATCCAGAAGTCTTCACTTTCGCAAGCGCATTTTCAGTAAAGCCACGCATTTTCAGTAAAGCCACGCAGTTTGTTATTATTACGACCAACTTCACCATGATGAAGTATACAAGGATTTTTAATTTCTTTTTTAGGAACCAGATTAAAATGCTGCATTTTTTGGCTACTCGCCATTATTTAGTTTAATAATAATAAATAAATAAAAATAAAACACGTTTTTTTTGTTTTATGTTTTATATTTTTGCAACAACCGTTTGTTTTAAAATGATTGCAGTTTGTTATGAAAATATTTTATTTATAAAATTTTTTTATTTATTTTTTTTTATTTATGACGGTAATTCTTTACTTTTAAAAAGAACTTCGATAAAATAAAAAAAAGTAAACAGTTTTTGAAAAGTAAACATTTTTTAACGTATACAAAGAACGGGAACATTTTTTTATTTCTTAGATTTATTAAATTAAAATTATTTCATATTTTTAATACAATATTAATATAAAAAATTATAAATTTTTTTTTTTTAAAATAAGGTTTATGAAGTTTTGGTTACATAGATTTAAATAATTATATTTAAAACATCTAATTTTACAAACAATTAACCCCCTATCAATAATTTGTTAAAACTAAATTAATGCTTTTCGGTATTGGATTTATAAACAACATGGCGGATATATCATGCTTGAAATCTTTTCGACCAGACTAGATGTTAAACCGTTAAAAATAACAATGTAACTTAGATATATGACATTTAGACCAATATAAACTTAAAACATTAAAAAAAGAATAGTTACAGGCTAGGCATGTCTAGTTTTCAGAAACTAACTTATAGGATAAAACGGTTGCTATGGTCGTTGCTATGGGATTTAAAAATGTGTTTGAGAAGTTAAAAATGTGTTTGAGAAGAATATTCTTGATATTCTAACATTATTTTTGAAAAAATATTTTTTCTATTGAATTCTAAAATGTTCAATTGTATGGATATCATTTTTTTCAAATTTTTCATATTTTTTTTATTTTTCACCAAAATAATGGCTGGATACCACCAGTTTATCCTACCACTAACATACTAGTTTTTATATATATTGTAAAGCATTTATTATATATCTAAATATATGTATATATTATGAAAAAAATTAGATTTTTATATTTTTCTTAAATTGATTTTTCTAGGGAGTAAGTTAAGATTTTTATATGGCTATTTTTGTGAATATACTTCCAGTTAATATTTTTTTCAAATCTTTTGGCTTTAGTTTTTATTGAGGTCTAAAGTTGGAACAGTTTTTTTCTAAAGCATGTTTTTAACGGCTGATATTTTGAGATGCAAATGCAACCATGTGCAATTTTATTTTTAATGGAAGATTAGACCCACAGCTACCGTATGGTGTAAAAAAAAGTCCGCTTGGCTATGTTGGCTTCAATAGTCACGGTTTCATTAAGTTCGTACTTTTCACAGTTATTGTACAATTAGACTATGATTTCTAGACAGCGAATAACTTTTTATTTTTTTTTATTTTTCTAGTAAAACTTGTAAATGGCTAATATAAATAAGTTGACAAATCATTTTTAAATGAATAATATTCCAGTTTTAGCTTCTTAAAGTACCTTAACATTCTTAAAGGTATGTCATAATGCAAAATAAGCAAATTAACTAAAATTGGCCCAATTTTTAAAGTACCGCCATGGCAGAGCAACAAATTAAAAAAAAAAATCATTTATATTTATCATTGCATCTATTATGCAAAGCAAATATATAAAAAAGAGCGGAATTTGTGACATTCAGTATTTTTTTTCTTCAAAATTGTCTGATTCTTAGAAACAATGGATTTTAAGGCAAGAATAATATATAAGTGAAGCCCTATAAAATTTAGTACTTCCTATACATGATTAGAAAGAATTTGAATCAAACTAATTGATGCTAAAAACTTCAAGATTCTAGCTTAATTATAAAAAATTATATAAAAAAGTAAAGTTCATGAAAATTACGTGTTTTTTGTCATACATCAAATGTTTTCGTTGCGTTGTTAACAATACTGAAATAAAAATAACTTTCAAGAACTAAATGTTTTTTTATAAAATAGGAAAAATGTCCATGCAAACTGAAATAAGTGCTAAAATTTTTTAAGGAATATTTATTTAATCGTATATTGGCTATTTCAATGCCTAATTGGCTGAAAAGTGGACATAGAGAGCAAATTTGCGGAATAAATCACAGCATTTGTTATTGATTTAGCCGTTGCTAGTCAACTTAACTAACTTTATGTTTTAAAACAACTTAGCTTTTTACTTTAATTTTTATATTTTTGCATTTTACATTTTTAAAAGTGTCTATAACAAGGTAACTAATATAATTTTATCTTTTTTGAAAATTTCTTTTTTTTTTTGACTTTATAACTTATATGGGTGCACTTATATTATAAGTTGAATTTAATAAATATAAATTTGCTCCAAACTCTTAGTTTTTAGTTTTACTAAAAATCAAAACAAAACTAAGTAGATCACTAAATAAAACGAGATATTATGATAAACGAGATCAATTATTTACATAATATTCAATATATGAAATTATTTATTAATATTTTATAGTATACAACATTTTTTTTATTATATACAAGTGATATATCCAAAGCGAGGTTTTATTCAAGAACTGTTTTTTTATATTCTGCAAGAAATTAAAAATAATAATATTTGATTTTAATATTTGGCAACCACTTGGTTGAAGTAAATAGTTAACAAATAATAAAATTAAAACAAAACAATATCAGTTTTGAAAAAAAAATAACTTTTTTTTCAAACTTTTTATTGATGGGTTAGGTTTAATTAATCAATTTTAGTCAATTTGTGCAGCAATAGGAGCAAATAAAATGCTGCCAAATATAAAATTGAAATCAGAAAAAACTTGTTTTACTTAAATTTTATATTCATCACTGTTTAAGCAATTTTAAAATAAGTTAAAGTGCAATTATCCTGTACAAATCTTAATTTTAGTATTAATGATAACAATAATAACAGTAATAACAATAATAGTAATAATTAATATTCATAGAAAAAATATAAAAATGTTAAACATTAGGTATTATTGTTATTTTATCATCAAATTTTTAATAGTTGAAGAAATATATCAGCATCTAATTCTTGAAACTACTTTTCAATCTTAGTTGTTAGAAGTCATTGTTCTGTCGAGAAAAATAAATTATTTATTTTATTTTTTTTACAAATTTAATTTTAAAACAAGAATAAATGCATAATAAAAAATATATATTAGAGATGACCTCAAAAGAATTTAATTGTAATTATAATGATGACCATGAAATAATAATAATCAGAATAAAAATAAACAATGTTTAACTTAATGCTTACTGCTTGTTTTTATTCCTGGCTTTCAAGTGTTATAATTAAACTTCTTACGTCTAAAGTCTATGGAAAACCTACTCCCCATTTAATAAAAACTTTAATTTTATGACCACATATTGTCATATTTGTGACAAAAAAAAGATGTTTTTATTTTTTGTTTTTACAACCTGAAAAAAAAAAAAAAATACTTGCACAATAAAATGGCACATAAAAATTATCCAAATAGGTACAGTAATGAGTTTTCTAAATATGGTAATGGAAGTTGATTTCTTGAGAAAGCCTCCTAATGTTTTTGTTATATTGTCTTTGGTAACAAGGTTTATGGCAAATTACTTGATAAATTTTAAATTATTGTGCAGTGAGTTTCTATCATTGGCTCTTACTAAATGCTACTCTTCTCAATAAAGAACCTGGTCTGTTAAGGTCAGCTATTTTTATGATACTGTGTCTTTATGTCATGTTTGTCTGATGGAGGCAAAGGTTACAAGCTAGTTTTGTCCAATGTTTGAAATATTTATCAGTAGTGACTTCATTTCTCTTAAGGAAATCCATAAAGTTAAAATCCCATCATATTTTTGCAACGACTTTTTTACAGGAGCCTATCCTAATAACTGAAGAAGTTGGAGAATGTTTATTAATGCTTTTTCTGACCTGTGGCTATTGTGCTGTTATCCAGCAAATTCGATTGCTTGAGTCTGAATGTCAGAAATTCAGCATTCGGTTTTGTACTACCAATTTCTCTGATATTTGGCAGGATCCATTTTCTTGAAGTAGTAGGTGCTTAGTAGGTATTTAGTGTTGTCCAAATTGTGGGATAGCAAACTTCACAACTCTCTTTTCTTCTCTATACCAACCCATAACATAGCAGATAAAATAACTTTTTAATATAACAACAGAAAAATTTGCTCATTACTTAATACTGGGTATGAAAACTTTGTTGATTGCAACATTTTGTAGTTGCAATTGTTTATGTTACTATTTAGAGTTTTCTTGCAATGATTGTATGTGATAAAGTACCCAAGATGTGTCTTGATCCTTTACAAGCATGTTAAATTATGCCATGTACCCAGCTAACACAAAATGTTTAACTACATTCGGTGAATGTTCTGAACGTTCGAGCACGTTTTGTGAATGTTCATAGAACGTTCACAGCGTTCGTTGGTTGTTTTGTGTTAGCTGGGTAGGCCATTCACATTTTAAGATATACTTTCATTTTCATATCTTCATAAAATTGTCTGCACAGTAGCAAAATGCATCTACTGAGTAAAAAAAAAAACAATTTTATCTAAATCAATTAATATTTTAACTATAGTTTTTTATTTTATCTAGCAATAACATAAATATGTCTTGTATACTTGTGATAACTTTTTTACAGTCTGAAAACATTCTAGAAAGTTATATACAATTCTGAAAAATTTCTGAAACTTCTGGATATTGCTAGCAGTTCCAGAATATTCTTTATTACCAACCTCCAGTTTGCGTTGAGAGATGGGTTGAAAGAAACAAAGGTGCTTACTTCTTCTCTTTTTAAGTTATCAAAAGTCAGTCCAATGCTGCATAAAATTCAGGAGTTTTTTTTTTCAAATTAATTCTCTACAAATCAACCACTATTAAGTTGGGAGTTACTATAAAAAAAAGAAGAGTGTTAAAGAGCAAAGAAACAGTTGACAGAAAGCTTGAAATGTTGTAGGTTGTATGAGTTCGGAAAACATTAAGATCGGAGAGATTTCTAAAGCATTGAAGTGTTGTTAAGAAAACTAGGTAAATTTCTAGAGTTTGAAAGGTCAGATATAGTAAAAGAGGAGTCAAGCCAGAATGAGTTTTGATTGATAAAATTAGAGATGATAGCTTTTTTGAGCAGCGACGATTAGTATTTGTAAAAAAAACAAAAGAGATGTAACCTTATGATGACGGGAGAGTGACTCAAGCTTGGCAGATAGATCAAGTTCATCAAAGTATACCATGCATTTTTGAACCTTTTCTAGAAGAGAAAAGCATCATTAGAAGAACCAGCCCAAATATGACAACAGTATTCAATACAGGGATAAATAGATTTTTAGAGGTAGAGAATGGAATTAAGAGTAAGATAATTGCAAGCAAGATAAAAAAAAGCAACTTTAGCAGGTAATAACTTTGCATTCGATTGTATTTATGGTTTCCATTAGTGATGTAAATTTTCCATTAAATTTTGATTCAAAATTTCCGGTAAATTTTAGTTCTGAAAGGGTAAGCTTTTGGTTGAAAACTTACCCTTTTCTTAAAAAGTTTTCTTAAAAAACTTTGAAAATGTTTTTTAAGAAAACTATAGGAAAGCATTTTGGGAATTTGCACTTATTGAGTTATTTACATGACATCAACCTAATCAACAAGGATTACTTACTTTGAGCAGTGTCCAAATCACCTTAGGGTTGAAAATGTGGTATGAAACCTTGTATTCAAGCAACCAACCATTTTTGATCTACTTTTACCTCAATACATCTTTTTAAAGAAAGGCTTTTAATATTTCAATGAAAATAAAAAATGTAAACAAAATATAGTTCTTGTTTCATATTTTTTGGTGTAAATGTCTAAAATAATGAACTTCCCTCATTAAAGAGCATTTAAATCAGTGCTAGATTAGGGGTGGGGCTTTTTTTTTTATTGTGGCCGCACAGTTTTGGGGACCCTGATTCAAAATAAAATATATTTAAAAAAAAATTAAGTATTTGATCAATGACATGGAAAAAGGCTTCCTGCTTTAAAATAGCCCTGGTCCCAAAAAGTATTTATCTGCCACTGGCCCCAATGTAAGATAAACAAATGAGACCCTGTTATATTGACTGGGGATCAAAAAGTTAGCAATGATCCTAAGTTATAGTGTTTAACCTACTTTAAATTTTTTTTAAATTTTAGGCAAAATGTTTTTTTTTTAAATTTACAATTTACATAGAGATAGATAGGACTGCAGGCTTGGCCAGGAAGGCGTGCCATTTTACGTCATAATATGACCATTCAAATACTATTTGATTTTACTTAACTTGAACACGGCTGTTAAAATGTTTTGAAAATATGTATACGTTTTGAAAATGCGTTAAAAAAATTAAATCAAATCTTACTTAACTATAAAGAAATAAAAAACAACAACTTATGATTAAAGAAGCAAATAAATTTTGTAAAAAAAAATTGAAAACAAAATTAAAATAACTTAACTAAAACTAAAATAGCAAAAATAAAATTAAAACTAAACTAAAATGAATAATCAACTATAACGATAAGATTATCTAATTTACGTTTTGAATAAATAACTTTGAATTGTATACTAATGTTTTTATAAAAAAACATTAGTATACAATTATATTATAAAAAATTAATAAATAATATATTATAATCATATTATAAAAAATTATATATAATATAATATGATGCGAAATCCTTTTTAAATAAAGTAACAACTTACAACTGATAATTGTTTAATAAACGCTCACATTTAAAAGTTTAAAAAGATCTTCTTAGCAATTCTTTGCACATGAGAAAAAAAACATTTATAATAAAAAATAAATACTTATATAAACATAAAAAAATATATATTATTTATTAATTTTTTCATAAAAAATCATTAGAAGTGATTTGTTACTTTATTTAAATGCACTACTTTATCTAAATGCCTATAAAAATGTAAGTTTTTTATACACATTTAGATAAAGTAGTGCAAATCAAAGTTATTTAATTCAAATGGCTTTGAAAAAAGTTTGTCTTTTCTTTTCTTCTTAACAAAAACTTTAATGATTCTTATATAAATTTTATTTAAAGGGAACTTCGCTGTTTAAAGTTGTCGCTTATAAAATTTAATTTTTTTATTTTTGATTTTACTTTTTTTATTTTTACTTATAAAAAAATCTTATATAATTAAATAATATAAATAAAAAATTATACAACTTCCAATAATACTTAATTTAAAAGCGTTTTGCTAGTATAAAAACAGTAAAAATAAACATGTCGAAGTAA